AATTACCGCATTTTACTATAATTGTTTACACAACTGTCTGCGTTGTCTACGAGGCTATAAGCTCCATGAGTGAACAATCCACTTCCTCTCTCCTGTCTTTGAATCTTTATTGCTTAGTGGACGCCAAGCACATGGTATGTGCTCAATAAATATTTATGGAACATATGAGTAAACCACCATGATTAAAAAATTGGATTTTGAGTGAATTTCTTCTTGTTGTTTTTAAGTCTCAGAGCCAACCTCTACCTGTACCAATCCTACCCCATGGTCGTTGTTTTTGAATAAAGCCAAAAAAAGTCCATGGATTTAAAGTTGTAAAAATAGTAAAAAGGAAAATATTATCCCCATTTCAGATGTAAAATTGATGTATGATTGAGAACTAGAAAGGGAAAATCAGAGTGGATAAGATATAATCTACAACATCAGCCAGGATAGATATTACTTACTAAAAGTATTCAAGTTTTAATTGTCATTGTTCCTACTGTTTATGAGACAAACTTGCATATTATATTTAAGCTAAACTTCTAGAAGTAGAGCTTATAAAATAATGTATTATAATAGCCATAATTTATGGAGTACCTGCTATATGCCAGGTGTAAGTAAAGCTTTTGGTACACATTGTGTCCTTTAGTACACTCGAAAATCTTCTAAAGTAAATAATGTCCCCATTTTACAGATTAAGAAATAAGATCAGGGATGTTAAGAATTTTCCCAAGGTCACACAAGTAGTAAGTAAGAGAGCCAGAATTCAAACTCACATCTATTAGAATCAGAGGAGAGTGCTCTTAGCTTAATTCTAGTCTGTTGAAACGATATCCATCGCTCTAAGTTTTAGGGCTAAAGCTGGATGAGTAGAGTGAGGAAGGAAAGAGAAGAAGGAGGAAGGCAACCAGAAGAGAGAAGTGCATTATGATTTTCAAAGTACCAGCATCTGAATCACGTGGGAACTTTTTACAAATGATATTCCTGGTCTGACCCCGTCGACCTACTAAATCAGAATCTTTAAGCATGATCCAGAAAGTCTGAAAATTTAAATAAGTTCTTAATAAGTTCAGCTAATTCTTAAGATTTTAAAGTTAGAGAGATTAGATAAACTCTATAAATGAAAACAATAAATGAAACACACACACACTCACACACACACACACTCTCTAGATAGTAAATTTAGCTTTCAAGTAGGTCTCTCAACTTGAGAAATTGTTTGCTCAACACTTCAGTTTTCTTGTCTTCAAGATGAGGTCACTTCATGAATCTGAATAGAAGCAAAACTCTTAACAACAGCAAGCACACTTTGGAAGATATGTGAAGAAACAAGGTCTAACCATTTGGTCCTTTATTAACTTTCTTAGCTGCAATCTATCTAAGAATTCTGGGAAAGCTGGCATCTCTCTCCTGATTCATGTACTTTTTAAACTGCTTTTCTCAGTTAAATATGTAAAATTAGATCACCCTGATGCAATTACTCCAAGGTTACAAATAATAGGAGTTCCAGTGGGTGTTTTTTTCCTTCTCATTTTCATTAAATTCCCTCATAGTAGATATAAAAACAGTTCCTTAATTGGTACTGATTTGCAAATATATTGAATTCAAACATGTCAAAATAAATTAGATTTGTCTCTCAGTAGAAAGAAAGCAGTAGAGCCAGATTGAATCCCAGTGAAATTTTATAGCATCTATTTACAAACACTTTTATATCCTAAACTGCACGGCATTTAAAATAATTAGGAGCTTTATGCAACACATATAACATCTACTTTTATCGTTACTTCTTGAACCCAGCAATAAAAGTAGATTTTAAATTGTAGACTAATTGTTTCATCTATATTTATACTGTAAAAACTGGGTCTAACATTTGGAAACTGCAAATTCTGTTATTTTAGTATACTCGTTATTCAGATGACTCAGGTGTGTTAAAAAGTATTTAATTGAGAGGGATTTATTGCAATCCATATATTAAAAACATCAATTTGAAATGTTAAACAGATATCTATGAATAAGTTTATACATCTATAAGAAAATTATGTTGTACGTATTTTGCGTATATATTCTGCAGCAGCTAACTTTTCTGGGTCACACTTGCCTTATCTGCAAAAATGTAGTTCTAAACAACAAATCTGGAGTTATTTTGATCAATTTTCTTCTTACCGAAATGCAGCTGTTGGTGGTACATCCATACAATGTACTATGATTCAGCAATAAAAAGTATCAAGCCACAAAAACACATGGGGGAAGTTTAAGCACATATTGCTAAGGAAAGAAGCTAGTCTAAAGTGTACACACTGTGTGCTTCCAACTATATGACATTCTGGGAAAGGCAAAACTATACAGACAGTGAAAACTCAGTGGTTTCCAGGGTTTCAGGGGAAGGGAGGGATGAATAGGGGAAGACCAGGAGATTTTTAGGTCACTGAAACTATTCTGTGTGATACTGTAATGGTGGATATATGATAATATACATCTGTCCAAACCCATCGAACTTATGCAACACAGAGAATGAAGCCTCACGTAAACTATGGACTTCCGTTAATTGTGTATCAATATTGGTTCATCATTTGTAACAAACGGAACACACTAATGCAAGATGTTAATAATAGGCAAAACTAGGGTTGGGGGGTCCATATGGGAACTCCATACCTTCTGCTTAATTTTTCTGTAAACCTAAAACTGCTCTAAAACAAAGTCTATTAACTAAAACAAAAATATGCTGCTGTTTTACATGTAAAATTTAGAGGTGGTGAGAACAATGCAAATAGTAAGATAATGAACTAAGAAAACTTAAATTTGATATCTATCTTAACTGACTTTTTTTAATTGAAATATTATTTAGGCTCTGTTTACGTAGTAGTTTAGGTGATTTGGGAATTTTAGTCGAAATGTATGGGTTTTGTTTAAAATGTCAGACTACCGCCCAAAGTGTTGCCCTTGGGGGATAAATAGGAGCCTCTGCTGCCATCAGAGATATGTCGGGACACATGGGCATCAAACCCAATTCAGATCAAGCCTTGTAAAAGAACCTCTGGTGAAGGCCCTTCCCAAAGGCATTTGAAAAATATGAAACTATCCGTCTCTCCAATGTTCAAAGTTGTTATCTGTTAAAAACAAAATCATTTCTTTTATCAATCCTTTTCTGGGGAATGGAAACCCAGTTGATCCCTTGACGCTTATGCTTCATCAGGAGAGCTGTAGAGTTCCCCTATGGAGCCCTATCTCCTTCAAGTGTCTTTTATTGCAAGAGTGCTTCTTTTCAATTTTATCGGCAGTGAAGCTAGCTTTAAAATGTAGAATTCTTGAATTTCAGACAGCCAACAACTATTTGTTTTGAATTAGATGTTAAAAAGTCAAATTGGAAGAGGGATAATGATGCATTGTTATTATAAAATAGGTGAATTGTAACTATATTAATTAATAGCAAAAGAAAGATTTGTAAAAAAAATGAAAAGACTTTTGCGGAATCCTTGATTTGGCCATAATTCTTTGCTTCTGAAATTAATCAGTAGATTTTGATTGTACTCAACAGAAAGGAGAGAGGGAATGATGAACCACATTATATCAGACTCAGAATAGTAGAACTGGAAAGTACCTTACGGATAGTTTACTCTAAAAATCATAAACTGTCAGCCCATTAATCAAATTGAGTCAGATGCTGCTTTAAAAAATAAATTCCCATTGGCTGCAAAAATGTAAAAGCTCATAGACTTCACAAAAAATTTGAATTTCTTTTTTCCATTTTAAAATCACAGTAGACTTGCATTATTGCATGGTAGTGACCCTTATTAAATAGAGCATGCAGGGTCCAGTTCTTTACTTCCATTCTTTTCCCATTAGTTTATGACCAGCCCATTTTATTCAATTTTGTTATCTTTCTGTCTTCTCTGTCATCTGATTTTATGGATCCTGATTTATTATACCAACTCCTTCATTTTGTATGCAAGTTATATGTGACTCCAAAAGGGATATATAATTTTCCCCAATCATTTAACTGATACTTTCCACAGCATAAAACAAAAATAATAAGAGTCCTGCCTGGAAATAAATAGGAAAGAATTGAAATTTTGTAATCTAATGCTCATTATCATAGAGTTTCCTTTCATTCTAGCCAGGAGAAAATTGCATTTTTATAGCATGTTTTGATTGTGGTAGAAACTGTGTTGGAACAATTAAGACAAAGGTTAATGAGGAGATATTTTGTAGAAGTAAATCTGTTTAAACATTTACTAACAAATAGAATTTTAAATGCTTTTAGTGGTCTGCATAGGATTTAAATTCCTTCTTAAATCATGCCAGCTACTTTTCCCAGTATTAATCATTTCCATCCTGATTGTACAGAAATAGCCATAAAATATTATTTTTGAAGTTTGAAATAAAAGATGGCATTTTTCGGGGCTGGCCCCATGGCCAAGTGGTTAAGTTCGCACGCTCCGCTGCAGGCGGCCCAGTGTTTCGTTGGTTCGAATCCTGGGCGCGGACATGACGCTGCTCATCAAACCACGCTGAGGCAGCGTCCCACATGCCACAACTAGAAGGACCCACAACGAAGAATATACAACTATGTACCGGGGGGCTTTAGGGAGAAAAAGGAAAAAATAAAATCTAAAAAAAAAAAAAAAGATGGCATTTTTCTAATGTAAAAGCTGAAGGTACGTTAGCTGCAGACTTCGTATTTCTGTACTTTATGAGGATTGAGAAACAAATTAACTATGAAAAGTGTAAAATTTAGTTCTTATCTCGTATAGTAAAAAGATAGACAAGTAAACAATTTAAGCGATACCTACTTCCACAAAAAGAAATTCAGTTTATGAAAATTATCCGAGAATATGACTAACGGATGTTTTCTTACATCAAACAAATTGTATGTCATTTGATCTGTGAGTTCATTGCTCTTAACATTCAAGCCATGTATATTAGTTGTCTATTGCAACATAACAATATTAACACAAACTTAATGAGTTAAAACAACACCTGTATCATCTTGAGGTTTCTGTAAGTCAGAAATTGGTTACCTGTGTCCTTTATTTCATAGTTTCACCCAGGTTTGAATCAAGTTGTTAGCTAGGGCTAGAGTCTTATCTGGGGCTTGACTAGAGAAGGGTCCACTTCCAAGCTCATGTGGTTGTTGGTAGGATTCAGTTACTTGTGGGATGTTGGACTGAGGGCCTCAGTTCCTTGCTGTTGGTCAGATATCACCTCCAGTATCTTGCCACGTGGACAATTCCGTATGTCCACTTACTTCATTAAATCCAGCAAGGGAGATGCTTAGAGTCTACGAGAAAGAAGAAAGTTACAAGTTATAATCTTAAGTAACGTAATCACCAAGGTGACATTCCACCTACTTTGCTGAATCCTATTGGTTAGAAACAAGTCATTATTTAGCCCTCTTGCAAGAGGAGAGGAATACACAGGGTAAGAATACCAGAAGGGAGAGATCATTGAGGATTTTAGAGACTATTGTATTTCCATAGCTTTCTGATATTAACTGTTTCCAGGTTTTTTATTTCACAATCACCATGGAGAGCCATTAAGCAATGTGACAAATAGCAAATTGTCTTAATGTCAATTTATAATCTAATATATAGTACAGAAATGTATCTATTCATAATAAAAAATAGTCCATTAAAATCAAGCTTAGTGTCACTTCTGTAAGTGTTTTTCTTTTTGTGGTTGACTACTGTTATTTTCAGTTCAAGCTTACCAGTTCAGTTCAAGGCATCTTTATTTCACTGAACTAATACTATGACAATGACTAAATAAATGTTTATAAAATGTAATTGTGTTATCTCAGACACCTTACTTAAGAAGCGACTACATAGACAATTGTATCATTTTCTAATCTACATTTTTTTAAATTAGTTGGTACTCTTTTGATTGGAAGTGATAGAAATCCTAGATAAAGGAGAAAAAGAAGAGAATTTGTTTTTTCAGTAAGTGAAATGATGAGCCTACCAGCTTCACGTATAGCAGCATCTAGAATATTAGGCAAAGTGTAGGGGATCTATTTTCAACCTTAGTCATTTCATTTATGTTGGTGTCATTAACAACAAGAACCTTCTCATAAGGTACAAACATTAAAATTCTAGCCAAAAAAAAAAAAAAACGTCTTTTTTTCTAATAGTTACAGTAAAATTCCTGGGCAATATTTTCATTGGCTATGTAGGAAACATGTACCACACGTGAACACTGAGAAAAGATAAATTGTCCTCATTGGCCAGTGATAGTTAATATGCCTTTCCAAATACCCTGGGGATTGGGCCAGCTCTACTCACCACTTAGACTGAGAATGGAGGAGGTGTGGTTATCTAAAGCAATATCTGGATGCTGTTAACAAGAGAAAGCAGAAAAGATGCAGGGGAGTAAAGTACATACATACTTTATAATTTTCATTAAAAATTCTATACATTAGTTCTTATTCTTTATCAGGAAATAGTTATTGACCATGCAATGAATATATGGACCACCATTAGGTGCTGGAGCATCTGTAAGATACATTACTTTACATTTAGGTAACTTAGTCATTTAAGTATATGGACTACAGTGGCAAAGAACATAGCAATTTGGACAAGACGTTTATGAAGGGTTGTATGTAATTAAGTTTTCAGACTATATTTGTAGCTCAGGATTTGTTATAAAAGACTTCAGTGAAGGCACAATATAATTCCACAGTGTAATCTAGTTTAGAAGAACTGAGAGGATGAAGAAAAAAATGAGAGATAATATTAAAAGAGTAAGTATTGAAAGAAAAAGACCATGTGAAAGAAATGACAATAAGATTTATATTATCAGTTTGAGAAAAGAGGCAAATCTTGTAGAAATCAGTTGGGTTAGATAGATTGACTAGACTATGAAAAGACTCAGAGATATTTTTTAAACCTTATATTTAATTATAGATCTATTGGAGCTGGATGATATAAACATCAGTGAATTATAAAAGTGAGATTTTTTGCATTAATTTATGAAGATAAAGTTATAATGGCCTAGCTACAGTGACGAATATTGTACAATAAAATTGAGATTTTGAGAATGAGATAACGTGTTGTTGAAAATATATTTTTGAAATTAAGTGAATATCATAGTAGTGGGGACATAATGTGGCTACAGTTAAGCAAAATAAATGAATTCAAAAGAAATGTGAATTTTGTGGTGCCATTCATTCAAATACTTTTAGTACAGTTAGAACTTTACAATAGAGCAAGAATAAAGACTAGAAAAAGACATTTGGAAGCAATTTGCTTAAATATGGTAAACATTTTTTATGCACATCATCAAGAACATATTTTTATGTACCTCATCAACAACAAAAACGTACATTTTTATGTACATACATCAACAACACAACCAACATTTAACATTAGCAAGTTGAAGTAGAAAATTGTATCCATTTATTACCTTCAGTCCAGAAGATGCTTTAGAGACAAGTGAGGAAAATTTTGTATGACATTTGGAACATAATAAAATAGCAGTGTGTTCCATCTTAAACGAAAAACAAGGCAGGTGACAAGACATTCTTAACAGAGCATTTGCATGATTTTGAACATAATTTGTTAGAGCTGGAGTCTGAAGGTTGGTACTTCCTTAAAAACTTCAGAAAATAGTATTATTCAAATAAAGATGTACACACATAAACTAACTCATCCTGTTATTAAATTCAAAAGTCTGTCATGGCAAAATATGGAAAATAAAAAATTAATCATTTGCTCTAAACCTTCAGACCTCCTCCAGTAAGTGAACTTGCCACCAGAGGGACTATGGTTGGTGTCATTTCCGCGGCAGCCATCAATCAGAGCATTGTGTACTCCATTGTTTCAGGAAATGAAGAAGGTAAGCAGCTGTTTAGTCTGTGTTTTCACCATAAACCACTAAACTGAGATTTGGAATGAATTTCATATTGAATTATTGTTTACTCTATTCCTCTAATAATAACCTGTCTAACTGAAATGTAATTGTTAACTAGGTGCCAAATCTGATTAAATATCCAATTATATTAACAAAAGTGATTTCTTTCCCCTTAGGAAATACTAGATATCCAATTCTGGAAAGCTTCTCTTCCTATTCATTTAGGGAGATTTTAATGACATTTCTTCAAAATTAGTGCATCATACTTTTTTAGCTTTTGGTCATAATTATACTAGTCCCTTCCCTGTACCATCCATGACCCTTATTCCATGTCATACCTGAGCTAATCCTGAAGAAATATTAGAATCATAAATGATGAGTGCCCAAAGAGACACATCTGTGATAAAAGCCACGTATGTCGTATAATATGATTTCTCAAACAGTTAAATTAGACATACAATTAACAGTTGTAAGTAAATAAATAATATGAGATTTGTCTACCGATCATTTTCCCCTGAGAATAGAACGGTTTGCTAGTCTCTAGGAGTAAGTCCATAGCTCAATCTTTCTCGCACATTCTTTGTTTCTCCCATTATCCACAGGTTACTTGTCCTCTGTCTTTCCCTTTTGATAAGCTGGATGGTCTGGCATATTGTAGGCAGTCCAAAAGTAGTTAATATATATTTGATAAATAAATGAATATTACATATTTAATAAGTGAATGAATATTAATGCTGTTAAGAAGTTTGCAAGGAAATTATGAAGGCCTTTTTCAAGTATTTCGATAACTAACCATTACTAGAAATTACTGCCCCCGAAGCAAGTTCTCAACATTGTGCTTTTTTTTACTGCTTTCTTCTTCTTTTCTTCTGTGCTGCTGTGCCTCCTCCCTAAATATTACAAAACTTCCTTTCTCCTTGGACTTCCGAAATCTGACTGAAGCTGTGATTTCTCAGTCTGTTCTGCTACTTTATTTCTGTGATCCTGTCTGTTGTTTTTCCTTGGAGATAGCAAAGTGGCTCCACTTATTACCCTCTCTCCCCGACAATGACTATTTTTGCACTCATTCATTTATTAAATATTTCAACAGATATTTATTAATTCAGACAAGAAATATCTATTGAGCATCTATTATGTATTATGTACTCTTCCAGCCACTAGGCATAGAGCAGTGAATAACACAGATCCTTGCCTTCGTAGAACTTAATCCTCCAATAAGAGGAGATAGACAATAAAAATTATTCAACTGGTAAATATGTAGTATTTAGGTAGTAATACATGCTATGGAGAAAAGTAAAGAGAGGAAAAGATAAAGAGTGTGCAAGAGGTGGGATATTATGAAGTTTACCAATGTCCCTTGCTCTTCATTCGAATATATATCAGCAAACTTATTTTAAAAAATAGACAGGACAAAATATTTTAAGATATTTAGAATATTAAATTATATTTTCTAGATAACCAACATATTAAATTATCTGTTTTTCTCTGAAATGTTCTTAGCAGAACACCAAATCTACAAAATAATAAGATACATTAAATAAAAAGTGTAATAATCCATTAAGATCTTAAAATACTTGGTTAAACTAAATTAAATGGGTTTCTTCAAAACAGAATTTCTGAAAGCCTTTGGTATGAAAGAGGACCATCTGAATCTGTAGTGAGGGATATAGCATGTATTGCTTCCCAAATGTTGTTGACCAAAGAAACATTGATTTCTGGGAGTATCTCAAAAAAACTGGAGCTTCAAGGCATGCACTTAAGGAAACGCTGATATTGATAATTTCTGGAACATAGTTGCCAAAGAGCTGGAACATAGTTTCCAAAAGCCAGTTTTTTGTAACTTTTATGCATTACTCTTATTACAAATAGATGTTTTTCAAATCACAGTGCTTTTTAAAGAGATTTTTCCCTATAGTGGGAAGAAAATGACCAAGGAATTGTATTTTAATTCTAGATATGTTTGGAATTAATAACATCACTGGAGTCATCTATGTAAATGCCCCTCTGGATTATGAAACAAGGACAAGCTATGTACTTCGAGTCCAAGCTGATTCCCTGGAAGTGGTCCTCGCTAATCTCCGAGTTCCTTCGAAAAGTAGGTTATCTTACTTAAAGGTTTTAGAAGAATTTTATGATGTTTCTGCTCATTTTCTAATGAAATACATATGTCAAAATAAAGTTGTCAGTGTAAAAGGTAGGAAGATTATTAATACTCAGAGATGTTTGCCCATTCTTTTTAATATCTGATATATGGCAATCAGGGAGTGATTTCATATCTCTGAAATGTCATGACAGTAGCACACTATTTCCAAACTTTGTATACAATATTGTAGAATACTGTCACCTGTGTGTGTTAGATAATAAATCTCATTCTTAATTCCACAGAGAGGTTCCGGCTAACTCTCTGGACTGTGTATTGTTAATGGGTGCATG